TTCAGAGACGAGGTCAGGGATGCCAGTCAGTTGGGGAGATAGTCTCAGGCCCTTCACAGCTGTTTTGAAGGATGGTGGTGGGGGAGGCAGGAAGGCTGTGGTGGAATTTAACTGGAGCTGACACCCTGCCAAAGGGGTAAGGAAGAGAACTGATGATGTTTGTGAGAAAGCCCTTATGAAAGAGGCAGCCGCAAAGCAGGTCAGGCGGGAATGCTCGAAGCCCCGCAATCGCCTCCAAGACTGTGCTTCCATTGTCTTTAATAATAGAGCGTATGCCCTGTTCGATTCCAGGAAAGGGAGAGTCTTGACTGAAAATCACCAGAGTCTAAGGTGTGTTCGTTAGGGTCACCATTGCTGTGATGAAACACCATGACCAAAAGCAACTTGGGAGGAAAGGGTTTGTTTCACTCACGGTTCCATAGAACAACAGTTCATCATCAAAAGCAGTGAGGGCAAAGGACAGGAACTCAAGCAGGGCCGGAGCCTGGAGACAGGAGCCTGGAGACAGGAGCTGATGCAGAGGCCACGGAGGGGTGCTGCTTACTGGCTTGCTCCCTAGAAGCCTGCTTTCTTACAGCACCCAGGACCACCGGCCCAGGGGTGGCTCCACCCACAATGGGATAGGCCCTCCCCATCAATCACTAAGAAAATGCCCTACAGCTTGATCTTATGAAGGCATTTTCTCATTTCAGGTTCCCTCTTCTCCAATGACTCTATCCTGGGTCAAGTTGACATAAAACTAGTCAGCACACAAGGGCAGTCACCATAAATAATCTTCCCATATTGTCTCCTGTATTAAAAATCAAACAGCAAACTCAAGATCCCCCCCCTCCCTCAGCTTCCTGAGTGCTAAGATTACATTGTGTCCCCCACACTGCCTCTGTCCTTGCTTTACATATTAAGCTTTATTTATTTATTTATTTGTTTGTTTGCTTATTTGTTTGGGGGGTGTGCATGCCGTGGAGCACATGTGGAGGCCAGGGGCCAACTTGCAGACATCAGTCAGTTCTCTCCCCCCACACACGGGTGCCTTTACCTGCTGAGCCATCTCCCGGACCTTCCATCACCTTAACTTCGGAGGGGACACTGTCCGTGGACAGCGTGAGCCTCAGACTCGTGGATTCTTAGTATGTCTGCTGTGACTCAGACCAGCCTCTGGCTCACTGTGTAGCCAAGCCTCGCTTTGAATCTCTGCTCCCCTTGCTTCTAGCTCCAAGTGCCGGAGTCCCGGTGTGCACCACCTCACCTGGCTTGAGGCTCAGACCTGTCAGTCATTCCCAGCCGTCTAGTAACATCTAACACTTTTCTTCTTCTTCCCCACAAGCAGCACAACAAGTGTGCCACTTACTCTGTGGGAATGCAGAAGACTTACTCCATGATCTGCCTGTCCATGGACGACGACGATAAAACTGACAAAGCCAAGAAGATCTCCAAGAAGCTCTCCTTTTTGAGTTGGGGCACCAGTAAGAACAGACAGAAGTCGGCCAGCACACTCTACCTCCCCGAGGTTGGCCTGGCAAGGCCTCACACCAAGAAGAAACTGCCCACACCCTTCAGCCTGCTCAACTCCGACAGCTCTCTGTACTGAAGGGGGACGGAACAGTTCACTCCGAGACCGACAAGGCTGTTAAACACTGTGCCACGATGGCAACGTTCTCCAAGCCCATCTTCTCAGATGTACACTCGCCTTTGATGGGCTTATGAAAGGGAGAAGAGCCTCTAGACCCTGGTGGAAAACCCAGCTGCACGGGGGTTTTCACGCTGCTGCTGCAGTTATTTATTGTATAAAGTAGGGCACAGAAGAGCCTGGGTGGTGTGGCTGTGTTGAATGGCTGTGGTTGTGACGTTCAGGCACTGTGAGTAATGAATTGGGGCCACCTACCTTGGTATGTTTTTGAGTGTCTAGATTTGGGTAATAGTGATCTCTTAACCTCAAGTTCAAATGACCCTTGAAAGGAGGCAGGTTAGAGGTGGTTATTGAAGCCAGGCTGCTTGGCGGATCTCTGTGAGTTCAAGGCCAGTCTGGTCTATAGAGTGAGTTCCAGGACAGCCAGGGCTACATAGAGACCCTGAAAAACAAACAACCACAGGACAGGCTGCTTCATCTCCTTGAGAATTCATGAGCTGAAAATGGCAACATTTTATGTCATTCCTCCACAATGTGAATGTTATTTCCCAGATACAGTCTAGTGCCAACTTTGCCTTGAGTTTTTCCAGGACCAGCTGCCCTCCAGTTGGACCCCCCTGAGCAGTGGCTAACATGGCGGCCGTGGGCAGGCGGCAGTGTTAGGAGATACTGTCTCCAGGGCAGATGAGATGCTGTTTGATACTCAAATGGTTGCTCTTCTTGTGTAAAGTAGGTATGTAACTGTGTATCTTAAGAGTCTTGGTTTAAGAAGTAGTTTTGCAGTTTACAAGGTAAAGACGTAAACTTCCTCAAGTTGAAACCTCTACTTGACTTTTTAGGATGTATCTACCTTCCAACTTGACTTTGGGCTATAGGTTGGATGACACTGTGACTTTTCCAGAGTCATGGTTGACAGTTTAAGTGATATGCTTAACGATGTAGCCTGTGGATCTTAATTTGAGAAGTAACAAGGATTTAAATATTTTTCTACTGTGCAATATCTTAAGAAAGCAAATGCCTTTAAGAAAGTATGCCCACTATCCCAGGGCTGTGTGTATAAATATTTAAATAAATAGCCGTGTTCATTGTTTAATATTTTTCTCTGCTTTTATTTCATTTTAATTGCTTCTTCTGAGCTGTTGTTCATCTCAGGCACAAAACGTGTCTTGTGTGGAGAGGGAGGAAGGGGATTGAAGGGGAGCAGCAGCTACAGGACACAGGTACCCACTGTGTGCACAGACCTGACCCTGCGCACAGGGCACTCCCTCCACAGTGCCGGGCCCTCACAGCCAGTGCCTGGAACCTCCCAGGACCTCCCAGGACCTCAGAGGAACCTCCCAGGACCTCCCAGGACCTCAGAGGAACCTCCCAGGACCTCCCAGGACCTCAGAGGAGCCTCCCAGGACCTCTCAGTGGCAGACGCAAGGGAAGGTGCCCATACAAGTCTGCTGAGAATGAGTCTCTGGTGCTCTTGGATGATCCCCACAGGATCCTTTTCATCTTAGCAGAAAGTGGGCAGTGCCACCCATAAAGATCCGGACGGACAACAAGGGGACTGGTGAGTTCCATCAGTCCTCGCTTCGTCTTTCGCTCTTCGCCACTGAGAACAGAACACTTTTCTTCCTTTCTAAATACGAAAACCAGACTCTGTAGTTTGTAGTCTGAAGGAGGAAGAAGTTAGCTGCGGGGCTGCTGTCACCTAGACTGGGTGAAGAAGGTGTGGATTTGCTGCGCCACCGAGTGTCCCACCACCTCCTCGAGTTCTTGGACGGAAGCGTTACTCAGTTGCTGGATGGTTGGAAACTTCTGGAGCAGAAGAGGAGCCTTAACTTTTCCAACCCCTGGGATCTGCTGCACAGTCTGAACAAGGGACAGCTCTGAGAGCACACACCGCTTCTTCCTGAGGAAAGGGTTCCTGCTGGGCTCCCTGGTCTGCTCTTGAACCTGAATGGGAAAATTAAAGGGAAAGCGCAGGGCGCCCTCTAGTGGACAGATAGTGTGGTTTTTGTATGTACACACATGCACTGCAGTATACCGCTACATGCCAGAAGTTGCCAGTGGCCACCTTCCTCCGCTGCTCTCCACCTTCGTTTCTGAGGCAGGGTCTCTTAGTAAACCCAGTGCTCACTAACTTGACCAGAATGGCCAGCGAGTTTCAGGGACCTTTCTATCTTCACCTGCCCAGCACCAGGGTTATAATGTGATCACCACAGCGGGCTCTTCACATGAGTTCTGGACTCTCAGGGACTTGGGGCCTCATCTGTGTGGCAGGTACCTTACCCTCTGTGCCATTTTCCATGTCCCTTAAGACAGTTTTCCCATTTACTTCAGCTTATGGGTTTTCATATGCCAGAAATATAAATTCTTTGATATTGGTGAAATTATTTAAATATAGACCATATGACCATGCAAAGGAAAAAAGGCAGTTCATAAAAACTGAGTTTTCAGAATATTATGGGTAAACCTGGTCAAAAACATGAAGAGTTTACATATCTCTTCAGAATTAGTTCAGGACAGGTGCGGTGGCACACATCTTCAATCCCAGGGCACTGGAGAGGCAGAAGCAGGCGGATCTCTGTGAGTTCAAAGCCAGCCTGGTCTACAGAGTGAGTTTCAGAACAGCCAAGGGTAGAGACCCTGTCTCAAAATAACAAAAATAAAGCTCTACCAAACAAAAAAACTATTTCAAAGGACTGGGACTACAGCTTAGTGGTAGAACACTTGCCTAGCATGCACAAGGCCTTATTATGTTCAATTCCCAGCTCTGCAAGTCAATAAACAAACTAATTAAAACTCTCAGTGAGATGGCTCCGTGGGTGGAGGGAGGTGCTTGGTGTGCAAGGCTGGTGGCCTGAGTTCAGTCCCCGTATAAAGGAGGAAGTAGAGAACCGACCCCCAAACTTGTCCTCTGACACACCCACGCACGCACACATCCTCACACACACCCAGACAGGAGATTGAAACAGAAGTAAACATTTCAGAGGCCTGTTTCAAACAGGACCTGTAAGAGAAGCTCCACTCACATGAGGGAGTGTGTGCCTGCAATCTCAGCCCTAGGCAGGCTAAGGCAGGCAGAGCTCTGTGAATCTGGGGCCAGCCTGGTCTACACAGTGAGAGCCTGTCTCAAAGGACAAACTAGGAGATACCAGGGGTGTGAAGGCAATCTGACCGTGACACCTGCCACTCCACTGATAAAGCACATTTGATTGAAGAGGGCAAACGTCTCCAACACAGGATCATTTTTCAGTCAAGAGTGAGAGCAGCTGTGTGTCCCTGCTAGGACCCCTCCAAGGCCTCCCAGGAGAAATGGACTCTTCAGCTAGTGAGTTACACCCTTCCCCCCAGGCAGACAAGAGCATTCTCCTGCAGGCAGGGTGCTGGTGTGGAGGAGTCGGTAAGCCATGGGCCTGCGTGCGGTTCCAATTTGCTTCTCAACCCTAGATGCTCATCCACTTAACCACAGTACCCCGGGAGCCTGTGAGAGAGCTCAGCAGGTAAAGGCAACTGCTGTGCAAGTCTGCCGGCCTGAGTCTGATCCCTGGAATCCAGGCAAAGGTGGAAGGAGAGAGTGGACCCCACAAAGTTGTCCTTTGACCTCTACAAGCATGCCATGCCATGTGTGTCTATATACATATAATGCAACACAATAATTTTTAAAAATAACTCTAATAACACAATAACTCACACACCAAAAAACTACTCAGGACCTATCCTGGTCAGAGGAAGGCCTCATATATTACTCTTTTTTCCCCCAGTGCTAAGAACTGAACTCAACCTCAAGTGGTCTACCTCAGAGTTATATATATTCTAATCCTGTCGCTTTATTTTTTTTGAGACAGAGCCTTACTATGTAGCCCAGGTTAGCCTTAAAAGCTGGGATTGTAGGCATGTTCCATGAACCTGCCTCCTGACACTGTTTTAATGAGTTAATGTATTTATCTATTTGACTTTTGTGAATTGTTACCGAGGCTCCTTGTGGGTGGGGAAACACTATCTTACATTAGTTGAGGGAGGCGTGCATGTACCATCACGTGCATGTAGAGGTCAAGAGACAATTGTGGGAGTAGAATCTCTTGCACCACATTTTCTGCAGGGGTGGAGCTCAGAGCTTTAGGTGGCAAGTGAATCCCACTGACCCTTGCCAGCCTGTGACACTTGGTGGAGGTTCCCCAGGAGAACCAGACATGGCATAGTGCCTGTACCCCCAGCACTCAGGAGGCTCGGGTGAGAGGACGGCAAGTGTGGAGTCAGCCTGGGCTACATGGTAAGCTGCAAGCCAGCCTGGGCTACATAGTGAGACCTGGAATCAGAAAGCAAACAAACTCCCTAGGGAAGTATAATGAGCAAACAAACGGAACACCGAGGAATAGGCAAAGACAAGAAACCGGTGTGTGTGTGTGTGTGTGTGTGTGTGTGTGTGTATTCAAGTAGGAATATACGTTTGCATGCATGCGAAGCCTTGTGTGATGTTCTTCAGGCTCTATCTGCCTGTGGTTTGAAGCAGGGTCTCTCCTTAGCCTGTAGCTGCCTGACTAGGCTAGGCTGGCTGACAGGCCAGCAAGGCACAGGCATCTGCCTGTCTCCCTCCCCAGGGCTAGGATTACCAGTGTGTCGTCATGCCTAGCATCTTCACATGGGTTTGGAAGGGGTCAAACTTAGGTCTGCATGCTTACGTAGCAAGTGTTTTAACCACTAAGCCTACCCCAGCCTCAGAATTTTTATTTATTTTTTTAAGGAAATAAACGCAATAAGGCTATACACAAAAGTACTGAGGCTTAGCCTAGCATGGTGGTAAATGCTTGTGATCCCAAGAACTAGGGAAGAAGAATCAAGAGGACTGGGAGTTCAAGGGGGGACCCACAAACAAACAAAAACCAAACCAAGAAATGCTGAAACTTAAACAATGGCATGTGAGAATGAGGCAAAGGGGTTGCCAGGGGCCACTTTTACCAATACAGTACAAATGCAGGATAAAGATGACGGCGTGAGTGCAGCCTGGAGTCCAAAATCAGAGCTGCAACATGTTGCCTTTGTTACGGGCTTGTAACAGTCGTAAGTGAAAGGGTCCAAGAAATCAGACAGAGGTGTCACTTGGCTGGTGGAGTGTTTGCTTCAATCTCCAGCACTGCCTTAAAATCTGGTGTGGTGATACACTCCTGCAAGATCACGCCTTTGATCCCAACACTTGGGAGGCAGAGGCAGGTGGAGCTCTCAGAGTTCAAGGCCAGCCTGATCTAGAGAGTGAGTTCCAGGACAGCCAGGGCTATACAGAAAAAGCCTATCTCAAAAACAAACAAACAAACAAACAAAAACAAAACAAAAAATGTTTAGGGCTGGAGAGATGGCTCAGTGGTTAAGAGCACTGGGTGCTCTTTCAGAGGACCCGGGTTCAATTCCCAGCACCCACATGGCAGCTCACAACTGTCTCTAACTCAGTTCCAGGAGATCTGGCATCCTCACAGAGATACACATGCAGGCAAAAACACTAATGTACATAAAATAAAAATAAATAAATAGTGAGTTCCAGGACAGAGCCAGAACTGTTACACAGAGAAACCTTGTCTCAAAAAACCAATAAATAAAATAAGTAAATCTTAAAAAAATATTGTAAAGGAGGAATCTGGTACTTACCAACTGGATAATGAGGCAGGATGCTTCCAACTGGTTGGCCACTGGGAGCAAAACCATCCCAAGGTCGAGCACAGTGAACTTCTGGACTGCTGGGAAGTACTGTTCACTTGTCTGTGTTTTTTCAACTATTATAATCCCTTGAAGATGTCCAGACTTCAAAAGAAAAGACAGTAAATGAGTTGGTAACACAATTCCTTTTAAAGTTCAGAAACTTACCACTTAGTGCTTGGGATGGTTGAGATGGGTGATGGAGATGCAAGGAGATGTTGGATTTTAGCACCTCTAAGTCAGCACTTACATTTCTAACACGAACAAGTCTCTTTCTGTAGCCATGTCCAGCCACCAAATCCGCCTCAGTGATATAGAGAATGCAAGATCTGCTGGACAGGTAAAAATCTGCCGATGCCAGATCCTCCTCAAATATGAGTTTAACTTTTCCTTGAAATACAGACAAGAAAATGAGGTTTTTAGAAATTCCAAATAAGGCAGCAACAGAATGTGTGGGGGTTTTTGTTGTTGTTGTTTGTATGAAGATTCATTTTTAAAATGGGGGGGGGGGCACATGTGTGCAAGTACCCTGAGAGGCCAGAAGAGGGCATCAAATCCTCTGGAGTGGAATTAAAGGCAGTAATGAGCAGTCCAATGGGGGTGCTGAGGATAGAGCCATCTCTAGGCCCCTATTTAATTAAAAAAAGATTTATGTGTCTGTTTTACTTGGATATATGTCTGTGCACTTGTGCATGTCTAGTGTCCCAAAACTTAGAAGAGGGAGGAGTCTGATTCCCTGAGCCACCACATGGATGCTGGGAATCAAACCAGAGTCCTCTGCAAGAGCAGCCAGTCCTCTTAACCGCTGAACTATCTCTCCAGTCTCTATTTTATTTTATTATTTTATTTTATATCTAGAGATAGGTTCTCATAGCCCTAGCTGGCCTTGAACTTGCTATGTAGCCCAGGTTGGTCTCCAACTAACAATTCTCCTGCCTCCATCTCTGGAGGAAGGACATCCCATACCCGGTACTCCCCCTTCCCCTTGAATGTGATGGGAAGAAAGGAGTATGATAGAAGGCAGCCAGCTCACTAACCTTGCATCCCCTGAGCCAGCTGGGACCCGCGCCATTTCTCATTAGCCACAATATGTCCCAGTGGCACGTGCACCGGACCCGTACCACCAGGGTTGATCCTTTCCATCCGTGGTTTTGGTCTAATGAGAAAAATACAAGACCTCACTAGAGCAGGCTGCTGCACACGGTTCCAGACGAGGTCCAGACCTCTTTGGCAGATCTGTGGAGTGGCTTTTCAGTCACTGAATTATATCAACCGAAATCAAAACTCCAGAAATTTCTTCTTTAAAAAAAAAAAAAGAATGGGTCTTAATATTAAGCTTGGCTCTGTACTGACAGTTGGCTAGTAGCTCAGGCTGACCTCGAATTCAGCCTCCCAAGTTCTGGGGTGACAGCCGGAGCCACCACGCCGGGCTAACACCAGGAGAGTCCTCTCTTAGTCACTCCATCCCTCTTTTTAAACACCTTCCTGAGCTCTGGTGTTCTAACAGGGCGCTCCGGATGGTTCCTCTACCAGTCCCTGTCAGGGGCTGAAGCAGCAGGGAAGCCCACGGTGCCGGCATCTGGAATCTCCGTGGACATCACCTGAAGCCATGCCACTTCCGTGTTCCCGCAGCCCGCCCCGCCCCATTTTTTAAAGTCCGTCCGCCCTCTTCAGCGTCGGATTGGCTAATATGTACAAGACTGACTTCTAGTGTAATCAATAATAGAACGGAAGGCTCAGTTTACCTCCTCATTGGCTGGAATTTGAATGACGCCTTGTTAAGTTGTCAAGAGCAACGGGTGGCAGTAAAATTGACTCTGATTGGTCGAGGCTCAAACCAGAGCCAATGGGAGGCCTGCTTATTGTGAAGTCCGTGGGTCCGCGGGAGCTGGGCTGTGAGGCGCTGCCGGGGCTGCGGGGCTGCCCTCCTGCTAGTCCAGCGCGGGCGCCGAAGCTCACTGCCCACAGCCAGGATGCTCCTCAGCTTCCGCAGGAACCGCCGGAACCAGTTCGTGAGTAACGCCAGGGGCATGTGTTCCAGGCCTGATGTGGGAGCGAGGCGGTGGCACCGCCAGAGAGCATTCAGTTCCCAAAGCCCTGACTTCGTGTTCCAAAGAATGCTTCCTCCCCAGAGTCGGCCACGTTCAGGAATTGCTGTCTCCCTTCAGGAGTCTCCCCTTGGCCGGGATATCCTCTTGCTTCCTCCCTGCACCCCGCACCACGTACTCGCCTTGGCAGGTCCATCGCCTCTGCCCACCGAGTCTTACCCTTAGGCCGTGCCCACCCCGTCCTCGGCCTCTACCTGGACTGCTTCGTATTCAGCTGTTTCCTAGGTTCCCTGTTTTCACCTCCGAGGTTCCTGAGATTCGCTGTCTACAGAGCAATGACGGGGACTTTTAAAACCGCAGATCCGATCACGCCACTGCCATTAGATCCCACTGTCCCCGACCCCACCACACACTCACTCGCCAGACACACTGGCACTCTCTGTTCCTTCTTAAGATCTTGTTAAGGCTCATTCTCTGGTCCCTTGCTGTTTTATGTTTCTTGTTCTGTTTGGTTTTGGTTTTGAAACACGGTCTTAATTATGTAGCCCTGGAAACTTGCCACAGTCCTCTGGTCTCTGCCCCCTGAATGCTGAGGTTACAGTTTTACACCATCACACGTGACTTCTTACTCATTTTTCTAGGATCTTGACTCCAGCAGTCCATGGACACACACCCCCTTTCCTCTCACCACTGTTTGTTAATCATGCCAACTTGATTTTGTGGTGCTAGGAATCCATTTCAGGGCCTTTTAGACCAGGAATAATATAGCACACACCTTTAATCCCAGCACTCTGGAGGCAGGGGTAGGCAGTCCTCTGAGTCCAAGGCCAGCCTGGTCTATGTGGTGAGTTCTAGACTAGTCAAAGCCACACCGTGAGACCCTGACTCAAGGGAGGGGGAAAAGCAACTATCCCAGGCCCCTTTGGACACCAGGCAAACATTCTGCACTGAGCTCCAACCTCATTGTAATAACCTTTTAAAAAGATGTATTTTTTTAAAAGATTTATTATGTATACAGAAAAGCTGCCAGATCTCATTACAGATGGTTGTGAGCCACCATGTGGGTGCTGGGAATTGAACTCAGGACCTCTGGAAGAGCAGTCGGTGCTCTTAACCTCTGAGCCATCTCTCCAGCCCAAAAAGATGTATTTTTAATTATGTGTAAGTGTCTTAAGTGTGAGTGTGTGCGCTTGAGTGTGAGTGCCTGTGGAAGCCAGAGGCATCGGCTGCCTGAGTCACCCGATGTTGGTGCTGGGAACTGCACTCAGGTCCTCTGGGCCATTTCTCCAGCCCCCAGAAATAACTTTAAGTGACCCACCCAGCCCTTCTGTCCGGCTTTGCTTTGTCACTTCCCTTGTTCGTGTTGTCCCCTCTCCAGTGCAGAGGCAGTGGAGACCGTGTGATGCCTCTGTGGCGTTTTTCCCAAGGAAACCCCTGAAGAAGGGCTGGAGAGACGACCCTGTGGTTAACAGCACTTGTTGCTTTTGCAGAGGACCTGGCCTTGACTTCCAGCACCCACATGGTGGCTCACAGCCATCTGAAGTGCCATTTCTAGGGGATCTGATGTCCTCTTCTGACCTCCACAGGCCCAGGCATGCATGTGGTGTACAGACATATGCAGACAAAACATGCATACACTTAAAATAAATACATCTTGGGGCTGGAGAGATGGCTCAGAGGTTAAGAGCACTGCTTGCTCTTCCAAAGGTCCTGAGTTCAATTCCCAGCAACCATATGGTGGCTCACAACCGTCTGTAATGAGATCTGGTACCCTCTTCTGGCCTGCAGGGATATGTGCACTCTATACATAATAAATAAATAAATTAAAAAATAAATAAATAAAATAAATACATCTCAAAAAGAAAGTCAAAACAAAAAACCCCGAAGGAACCCTTCTTCCTGGGCCATTTTGATTTTCCTGTCCCTTGCCAGTTCTCATAATTTTGTGTCCTGTAACAACAGTGTGGGTGTTTTTCCACTCTATGCCCTGGACAATGAAGTCAGGGCATCTTCTTTGCTGTCATGGCAGCCTGCCTCTGGTAGGTGCGAGTGAGTGGCTGGTGCTCAGAAAACAAAGATTGGACAGGGCTCAGAAACTTGAAAGACACCCCCGCCCCCAGTTACCTAAAGTGGAGTGGGGTTCCCTCTGACTTTTGTCATATGTAGGGGCTCGTTTTCCTACTGTGCATCTTGGAGACAATCCACCTGGAGTCAGCCTCCTCTCAGAAATGCGTCAGTATGCTCAGTTCCAGAGCTGAGAACGACAAGGGAGGCACCTGTTGCTCAGGGGTGGGAAGGCCTGGGTGACTTCACTGGGATGGTGCTGTGTGGTGGAGGCCTGGAAGGTAATGGTCATTGTAGTCACGACTTCTTGGAGGCTGTGACCTGTGGAGAAGCAACTTGTGGGAGCAGAGGTTTGCTTTGGTTCATGGTTCCGGGGGATGTGCCCCGTCCTAGTGGGGAAGGCGGGGCAGGAGTGTGGAGAGAGTGCTCACTCCATCTCACAGGCAGACCAGGAGTAAGGGAGGAAGATGCCGGGGCGCGGCTTAGGTTCTCCTCTTTCTCTGGTCTGAGCCCCCTGTCCCATGAGTTGGCTCTCTTCATGTTTAGGGTAGGGTGTCCCAGATCTGTTAATCCCCTCTAGATATCAGAGACACCCGAAGGTGTGCTCATAATGCACCAGCGGTTGATTAACTCCGTCAGGAAGGCTGAAATCAGTCAGGAAGGCTGCCATAAGGAAGAAAGTGAGGGGACTGCCTCCGTGGGCAGCGTGATGGCGTGCCCTGGAGTGCATGCGCTTTCCTTGACAAATGGGAACAACGGGAGGAGGGGACTCCTGACAGGACTGGATCCCTGGTGTGGCCTCAGCTTGGGAGGTGGTGCTGGGACCGGACCCAGGTGATTTCCTCCTCCCAGTGACCTGCCTTGTGTTTCATTGTGCAGAATCACATCATCCATGGCTTCCTCCCAGCAGCCAGCATTGCTCCGAAGCCCGCTGTGCCACGCACACCTCCTCCCCGGAGCCCCAACCCGTCTCCAGAGAGACCCAGGTAGGTCTCAAGCTCAGCAGCACCGAGGGTCACCATCAAGAAGAAGGGCTAGAATCAGGTCCTTTGCGATATTTACCACTGCCCCGTGATAGACTTAATCCAGCTTCTCTGAGGAATGGTGGACTTACTTGGGATCTGTCTCCTGCAGTGTAGAGTCTAAGATTTCTTGATTGGATGTAGTCTGTGCTTATTAAATAGAAAGCTCCGAGTCTAAGTTAGTCCTTCCTTCTTCTCCATTCTTCCTCTGAGGGAATGGAGGCCAGGGCCTTGTGCCTGTAAACATGTACTCCGCATCTCAGCAGTTTGTCCATCCATGTTAATAGTACTTCAAGGAGAACCTTCTGCCTCTCTCTCTCTTTTTTTTTTTTTTTTTTTTTGGATTTTTGAGACAGGGTTTCTTTGCTTACCCCTGGCTGTCCTGGAACTCTCTCTCTGAGGACCAGACTGGCCTCGAACTCACAGAGATCCACTTGCTTGTGCCTTCTGAGTCCTGGGATTAAAGGCGTGTGCCCCTACTGCCGGGCTATAATTCTACCTTTTAAAAGAACTACTTTGTGTTAAAAGGAGGGAACATATTCCCTGCCAGGAACTGATGGTCCTCACCCCCAGTGCTTTGTGTACAGGGAGCCGACTCTCTTCCCATTCCTGGGACCACTTCGTATATCTGCCAAGATTTTAGACACTGGAAAACTTTAGACTTGTTTTTGTTTTGTTTTGTTTGTTTGTTTTAATAGTGTCTTACTTTGTAGCCCAGGCTGGCCTTGCATTCAAAGCAGTCCTCCTGCCTCAGCCTCCTAAGAGTAAGTTTATAAGTGTGAGCCACCATGCCTAGCTAGTCTGGGTTTTTTTTTTCCATTGTTGCTGTTTTTAAAATTCTATTTTTAGACAGGCGGTGGTGGCATATACCTTTAATCCCAGCACTCAGGGAGGCAGAAGCAGGTGGATCTCTGTGAGTTCGAGGCCAGCCTGGTCTACAAAGTGAGATCCAGGACAAAGTCACACAAAGAAACCCTGTCTCAGAAAAAAAAAATGAAAAGAAAAAAATTATTTTTAAATTATGTGTATTGCCTGTGTGTGTGTGTGTGTGTGTGTGTGTGTGTGTGTGTGTGTGTGTACTTGGATGTGGGTACTCTTGGAATCCAGAAGAGGACACTGTGCCCCCTGGAGCTGGTGTTACATGTAGTTGTGAACCACTCCACGTAGGTGCTGGAAGCCGATTCAGATCCTCTGCAAGAGCAGTGTGTGCTCTTTGAGCACTGAGCCACCTTTGCAGTCCACAGCCAGTCTGTTTTCACCCATAAGACACATGATTTGGTTATCCGCTGTTAGTAAGAACTAATTCCACTCCAGGGTGCCACTTCTATTTGGTCTTCTTTGGTACTGATATATTCAATGCATTTGATCAGTACATAAACTCTGAATGGCTGGAGATACGGCTTGCTAATCAGCATTTGCCCAGCAGACACGAGCTAGCCCCTGGATTCTTTCCCTAACCCCAGAGCAGGAAAAGCCCCTGTGGTGTTGTAGAGTTGGATTTTGCCTGCAGCATGTAACATGGAGAGCCATTGTTAGTGATTACTCTGTGCCAAGTAGTCTAGTGAGCGCTGAACGAGCAATGTCTCCTTCACTCTGTCCGTAACCTGTGGGAGGGCCCTGTGCTCCTCTCTAGTTTGGGTCACCTGTGAGGTTCAGGTGTCGATCACTGGCTTTGAAGGTCAGGGCAGTAGCCCCACCCACTGGAACAAAGGTGGTCTGTCCAGCTCACCAGTGTTTGTGTTGTATCATTGAGACTTCAGTGTCTATGCCTCTGGGCAGTGCCTAGAGGGTTAGCTTTCCATTCCATGTCAGCAAAACAAAGAGAAAGTTGCTTCATGGGAAGCACGTTGTGGGCTCCCTAGAAAGTCCTTTATTTTTTTTTCCTTTCTTCCTTTTTTTTTTGATATGTATTGATGTTTTGCCTGTGTATACATCTGTGTGAGAGTGTTGGATCCTCTGGAACTGGAGTTATAGACAGCTGGGAACTGCTGTGTGGGGGCTGGGAATTGAACCCACGTCCTCTGAAAGAGTAGTACATGCTCCTAACCACTGAGCCATCTCCAGCCCAAAAGTCTTTTTCAGGAATGACCTGGCGGGCCTGTAGAGATGGCTTAGCCATTAAGAGCATGTACTGCTTTTGCATAGTACCAGAGTTCAGTTCCTCTCACTACAAGGAGCGGCTCACAGTTGCCTGTAACTCCAGCTCTAACATTTCTGACCCTCTTGGGCACCTGCATTCACTATATATACCCACACACAGGTGAACCTACATACTCGTAGTTAAAGGTAGAAAAAAGGGGGGGGGAGGCTGGTCGAATATACTTGTAATTTCAGCACTCAGGAGGTTGATGCAGGAGAATTGATGCTAGTTCTAGGCTAGCCTAGGCTACATAGTAAGACTTTGATTAAAAAAGTCTTTATTACTGCTTTTAAAACTTTTAAAGGTTTGTTTTATATGTATGAATGTTTTTGCTTGCATGTATGTTATGTATCACATGCCTGCTCATGCCCTCGGAGGTCAGAAGAGGGTGTCAGGTACCCTGGAACTGGAGTTATGGATGGTTGGTTGTGAGCCACCAAACCTGGGTCCCCTGGAAAGGCAACCTGTGGTCTTAACCACTAGGTCATCTCTCAGCCTCTTAAAAGCTCTTATTTTGTCGTGATTGCCGAATGACTCACCACAGTTGTTGGTGTCCCACGGCTGAGTGCCACTTTCTTTCTGCCCTCAGCAGCATCCGGTTTGGCCGGTCTGCTTGGGAGTGTGGATCTTGATGGTGCAGTAGAGTAGTTTTCATCCACACTGACTGCAGATTTTTGATGGTGGTGAACATCCACAAGTAGCTAAGCTCTAGGGCCTGTTGGGTGACTCGTCTCCAGCACACTTCCGTGGCAGTTCTGTACACTCAGGGGCAAGCTAGCCCTTGTTCAACTAGCCTTGTGCGTTTCTGGTCTCTTTGAAGAGACAGTTTTGGGGATGTGCTTGTAGGGGTTGCTGCTATCCCCCCTTGGGTGGCAGAATGGCCCTCCTTGCCATTCTTCATCATGGCAGCCATTCGGCTAGGTCTGTGCTGAATGGCCGAGTGTAAGGGTTGTCTTATTCGTCTTTAAATTTCTGGACATTTAATGGGTGTAGTTCTGAGGTTACAGGGAAAAGCCACTCAGCTCCTCCTGGGTTCTCACCCAGCAGTAATCAACACATCACTCTGAATTTCTTCCCTCCTGCAAGTAGACAATTAATTCTTCAGTGGGCAACAGCGGGGTCTTCTCTAACCCAATTAAGTTCTAAGACTATCCACCTAAAGATTGTGTCAGATCCCCCCACCACTGCCCAGCCCCCAACTTCAGATAACAGACACAGGCCCAGGTGTTTGCCTGGGTTCTGACCTGAAAGTAAGCCAGTGTGTGCACAACCCTGTCTTTCTGTTGGATTTGATAGAGGGGCTCACAGATCTAGGGGAAGATGTGAAACACAGCCCTTGGAATAAGAGGTAGTTTGTCCTGCGCTAGAAATGAGTGGCCTTGGCCTGGGAACAGGATCCAGGTTCTGAGCTAACTGTGAGTGAGTGTGGCACTGAAATATGGATTCTGGTTGCCTTGAATGGCATGCTTCAGTGTGGAGGAGGCTAACTAACTTCTTTCTGTAAATCAGAGAGCAAAAGTAAGTCACAGATCAATGCATTTACCAAACACAGTGGTTGTGACATCGGGGAGGCAGGATACAGCAGAGCATGGACTCTCTGTGGGTTTGGAAGGGTGATCACAGCGTTCTTTGGGTTCCTGGAATCAACTGGTCTCTTAAGTTCAACAACATGTTCCAGAAGTTTTACCCAAGGCACGAGGAGATTAGGCCAGATGAGAGGTTGGTAGTAAACGGCTGTGAGGTCACCTCAGCTGTTGATCTTGCAGCAATCCATCTCTCAAGTCACACAGGCTGTCGCCTGTCAGCCTGCAGGGCCTTCTGCACTGATGCGGCTTCTTTGAAGGACTTGAGTTTGCGTGTGTTTATTGGTTTATTTTGGAGGCTTTTTTACTCTTTATTCTGATCTGCTTTGAGGTAGGGTAGCTCAGACCAGCTCCAGATGTGTGACCCTCCTCTTTCAAGTCTCCCAAGTGCTGAGATGACAAGCGTGTGTCACAACTAGGCATCTGAAATGATCCAGAGGGTGAGGTGTTTCTGTCTCTGTGGAGTGGAGATGTATGTGTGGTCAGCACCTAGAGGTGCCCTTCACCTTCCACAAGTCCCCACACATTCCACTCATTTTGGGGGAAATGAGTGCTGCTGATGGAAGCCGGTGCCTCACACACTGGTCTCGCGTGTGTGGAAGCTTCGTTGTGTAGGCGCAGCTGATGCTTGACGTTGGTCATCACCTCCAAGCAGCCCTGCCCCTCCCACTGCAAGGTTAGGGGGTGGGACAGAAGGTCTTTGTTCTCCATCTTACTGAGCTGAGACAGGTCTCTCATGGAATTAGAAGCTCGCCTTTTTGGCTAGGCTGGCTGGCCAGCTAGCACTGAAAATATGGATGGATGTTTTTATTGATGGGTCTTTTCATCATTACAAGTCGTGTGTGTATGTGTTTATGTATATGTATATGTGTGTGTTATTCAGCTTCCATAAGAAACACACATGCACACACAGAGATATTTAAATTGTGTGAATAAGAAAACTGCTACTTACATAGTTTTGGGTTCAGGAAGTGATTTGTTACATTATTTTTTTGCATCAGGTACAGCAATGTACCATATCATGGTTTGCTTTATAGAACTAATCCTTGGGACGGAAGAGGTTAAGTGTACAAGGTACATTACAGGGTTATTTACAACAATGAAAATCAGAGGGAAATAAAACCACCTAAGGAAGAGGAATTCCCAGCACACTGACATACCTCCATTATTTTGTGTGTGTGTGTGTGTGTGTGTGTGTGTGTGTGTGTGTGTGTGTACAGTGACTCATGCATGCCAAACATGCACATGACCACTAAGCTATACCTAATTTACCATTCAAAATGTCGACTATTAGATATATATATATATAGGTTTTTCGAGACAAGGTTTCTCTGTGTAGTTGTGGTGCTTGTCCTGGCGCTTGCTCTGTAGACCAGGCTAGCCTCGAACTCAGAGAGATCCACCTGGCTCTGCCTCCCAAGTGCTGGGATTAAAGGTGTGCACCACCACCACCCTGCCCTATATATATTTTTAAAGTCAGAGTCTCACTATATAGCCCAGGCTTATCTAGAACTTGGTGCATAGACCAGACTGGCCCCCAACTCACAGAGATCCACCTGCTTCTGCCTCCCAAGTTCTGGGATCAAAGATGTGTGCCACCATACCTGGCATAAATCCTCCTTTATTTCCTTTATTTTATTCAGATCTTTCATTTTAATGAGAAAACTATTTGAATGTAGGCTTTGCATATCTGACTATGTGGATTGACAAGCTGGTGTTGCCACATCTTATTGACTAGATAAAGTCTTTACAAATCATTTAATTGCTCTGAGAATGGACTGCATAAATTTGAGTCAGTCAATGCAAAAATTAGAAGGGGATTCCAGTGGGCTATTGTGGACTGTGAGTGAGCTGTCCGCAGCTAATCAGTAGCTGCACTGGGTTGACCTGCTCACTTCAGCCTGCATCTTGAATGTCCAATTGCTCAGTGCCTCTGTGGATGGTTCTGTTCCTAGGTCTGCTCTGGCTGCAGTCATCCTGGCGACCACGTTGACTGGACGGACAGTGGCCATTCCCCAGCCTCGCCAGAGATCCCAGTCTGAGAGTGACGCCTCCTGCATTGAAAAGGACAGCTTCATCGAGCCCTATGCCACCACCTCAGAGCTGAGGCCTCGGTAGGGACATGGTAACAGCTGTGCATCCTCTCAGGGAGTAGAGGGCCATTCAGCAAGGCCACTCTGTATGGGGCCACGTGTTGATCATAGTCACCAGGCTGTCATCACTTGTGCCCAGGAGGCACCGACAGGACATTAATTGTTCTTGTAATTTTTTGAGACTAGGTCTTCCTGTCTAGACCAGGATGGCCTCAGACTATATTTCTCATACTTTAGCTTCCCAGGCAGCTAGAATTACAGCGGTGTGCCATGGGACTTTACATTTCAATCTAGACTCTTCAGTCACAGTGGCTATAGTCTCAACTGCTGTAGAAGTTGGGTCAGGAGAATCACTTGAACCTGGGAGATCATGGCCTGACCTAGACAACACAGCTGGACCAGTATCAAAAGGAAATCTTGATTCCATTTTGAATATAGCTAGTTTTTCTTCTAACAGTTACACTTTGGCTGAATTGAACTAAAAATATGGAAATGATCATAAAGTTCACTGGAAAGAAAAAGGATATAATATTAGCAAAGGAAGAATGCAAAAATGCTAGTCCAGGTGAGGGCTGGGTTAGCCCTGCTGTATTCTAAAGCAGATGCTAAAGCAGTGAGAGCAGTGAGTGGCTACTCAGGTCAGTAGTGGGGGTGCTTGCGAATGTGAGGCGGCCCTGACCTAGATCAGGGAGAAGGAAGGACTCGTACATCCACTAACTGTATTTGAAAGCAGATCAGCTTTGAGTCCTGCCCAAATCATACACCACAGTTGGTCGCTATGTGATGAAAGGATTGTTCTAGATATTCACAAATGTAAGACCACGAGCTTGAATGCCTGGTCGACTGCATGTACTTCTAAGCCAGGAATTTAGAAGGTAAAATTAGGGTGGGGTGGGATGCTCAGGGTTGCGGGAAGGGGCTGGGAACTGTGGTCCACATCTGTAATCTTAGCATTTTTGATATGGGAGTTGAAATATCAGGAATTCAAGGCCATTCTTGGCTATATAGTAAATTTCAGGCTACCTTGGGCTATGTGATATCCTGTTTCAAAACAAAATCAAAACCACAGAAGTTGTTACTTTGCAGCTCTAGGGGATCAGTCCTGGGTCCTCCATGCTAGGCAAAGGTCTACACTCAGCTATGCCCCGGCCAAAAATGTTTTTCTTTTAATCATCCATATGTTAAAAAAAATGTATATAATCAAAACAAAATTAATAGAACAGGGTAAATATTTATAGTAAACATGAAAACTGGTTTGTTTTGTTTTTTGAGACAGGGTTTTTCTGTGTTGCCCTAAATGTCTTGGAACTCTTCTCTGTAGACCATGTTGGCCTTGAACTCACAGAGATCCACCTGCCTCTGCCTCCCAAGTACTGGGATTAAAGGTGTGTGCTACACCTCCTGGCTGAAAACAGGGTTTTAATTTTAGTAGATAAAGCTTGTTTCAAATTGGACCACTAGAAACAAATAAAATAGGAAGAGACAATTGACAGCAGAAGGATGGTGACTGAGGTGAATTATGGAAAATTATTCAGCTTCCATAAGGAACACACACGGAGATATTTAAATTGTGTGGATAAGAAAACTGCTACTTACATAGTTTTGGGTTCAGGAAGTGATTTGTTACATTATTTTTTTGCATCAGGTATAGCAATGTACCATATCATGGTTTGCTTTCTAGAACTAATCCTTGGGACGGTAGAGGTTAAGTGTACAAGGTACATTACAGGGTTATTTACAACAA